CTCATCTTTCTGATGTTGAAGGTTATGATATGAGGTAACTCAAGTGAATCATCATTCTTAGTTTCTTTTTCAGTCATTGCCTCTCGAACTCTTCCACTCTTCTAAGTCCCTATAGTAATCTTGTTCCACTATCTCTTGAACTCTCAAGTTCTGGTTTACTTAATTCTAACTTCGTTCTTTCCATTTTTCTCTACTTTTGAATATCTCTTGGATTATATCCTGAGTAATGCATTCTCCATCTATAATGATGTCTTAGAGCCTTTCTGTATTTCCAAAAGAACAGTTTGAATCTCATATTCTTTATTTCAAGATATTCAAATACCTTTTAGAAAACCTCAAGTTTTCCATGCACCTCATAATCTTTCTCAATAACTTGGTTTTCTCTTCTTGAGACTTCAGTAGAAGTAACTCTAGTGTGTTATTCTTTTGCAAATTTTCCTGATAAAAAACATGAATCATCATCCCTAGCTTACTCCAAGTTCGGTCAAATTCAAGCATTTCAATTTTTTATCATACTTCATAGATTGGACAGAACTACTATACCTCGGTTATAAAAAAGAAAGTATGTAGGTAGCTTGACATACTTCTTAAGGTTCAATCAAATTTAAATTATCAAATTTTTTATTAGATTTCGTGAATTGAGTAGAACTACTTATGATTTAATTCTAAAAAAGAATGTACATTACGTAACTTGGAGTACCACTCTAAATCAAGTAAAATTTAAGTATTTCAATCTTTTATTAGAATTCTTGAACAAAAATGTTGAATGCAATGTATTCCAATCACTATTGGATTTCAAGTAAAATGAAAATGAAACGCGATATTTTTTTTATTATGTGGGATTTTAAGATAAATGACAATTGAAATTATAATAACTTTCAAAGACTTCCATATTTCTAGTAAAATGAAAGATAAAATTCTACTTTCTTTAATTACGTGTGTAATTTTTAATTACTTGAAAAATGATTGAGAAATGAAATTTGATTTACAACAAGGCAAATAAAGAACCGAAAGCAATGAATTTCGAATGTATTAGGTAGTTTTGAAGAAGTAAAAAAAAAATGGATTGCTTTCTTTTAGAACAGTAGTCTTCGAGAAATGTGTATGTAACTTTTTGGATTTTAAAGGGAAAGAGTCGGTGTTTTCTAAGTATTTGACAAGAGCATAATCTTGTTTTGTCGATCTTTAAACTTGATTGTGCTTAAAAAAAATCGATTATTTCTTTTCTTATTGCCTTCAAAATGTAAAAAGTAACAAAAATCATTTTTGAAGCCTGCTTATTCTATGAAAACATCTTTTTCAAAAATTTTAAAAATACCAGTAAGTTCAACAGTAATTTCCTTTTATTCTTCATTTACGTATGACTTGATTCTCAAAAGAATATACGTAGACAGCTAGGAGTATTACTTCAAGTTCAGTCAAATTTAAGCATTTCATTTTTTTATTAAATTTTATGGATTAGTTAGAATTACGTATGACTTGATACTAAAAAAAAGTTACATAGGTAGTTTAACGTACTAGATTTCATAGATTGTGTAGAATTACATATGATTTAATCTTAAAAAAGAAGGTACGTTGGTAGCTTGAAGTACTACTTCAAGTTCAATCAGATTTAAGTATTTTAATATTTTAATAGACTTCATAGATAATAAACATAAATTAAAGATGTAGGGCCCGAACCGAGAAGGAGAAAAAAAAAAAAAAGCCACGTCAGCAGGCCCGGTCAGCAGTCCCGACCAACCGGGGCCTGCCACGTGGCAAGACCACGTCGCTCCGAAAAGGGGCCACGTTGGCGATCCGCGTGGGTGCGATCGGACGGCCCAGATCAATCGCGCGATCGGACGGCCCAGATGCAATCGCACGGACGGTCCAGATTCAATCAAAAATGGACGGCTGAGATCAAAGGGCAAGGGGTTATAAATAGAACCCCCACACCAGACCACAAACCCTAACCGCCTGCCGCTCGCCGGAGAAGACGAACCAGAAGCCGGCCGCCGCCACCCGCCGCCACCCGCCGCCGCACCAGAGGAACTTACGACCGTCGATCGAGGTAAATTTCGTACCCCCGACTCGTTTTTCCACGCTGATTCCTCCTGTGGCCAAATCGGAGCCAAAATCCCGGCCAAACGGCCGGAATACACGGCCAAAGCCCAGCGGCGTCGCCGCGCCCCTTCTCGGTTTTTGCCTCCGATGAGGCCCTTCTCGGCCTCCGTTTGATGCAATTTTTATATCACCGTGATCACCATTCTTTTCTCTACAGGTTGACCGGAGCCGAATCACCAAAACACGAACCTCGCCGGAGAGCCGCCGCACCCGAGAGCGCCGCCGCCGGTAAGCTCCGTTTTTCTGTGATTTTTTGGCCCCCCGAGGGCCCTAGGGTTGTTTTCTCGCAGGGACCGATGCGAGTGTGGCCGAATTCGGCCGGAAACGGCCGAAAACAGCCAACCCGAGGCGAATCGCCGCAAGGTCGCCGGAGCACGGCGGAGCCGCCGTGCCGGAGTTGCGATATTGGCCAAAAAGGGGCCCTGAGCCTAATTTGAGATTTTTTGGAACACGTGCAGGTACCGTTAGTGTGTTTCAGTTCCCCGGGAAAAATTCAGGGAAAATTAGGGACGGCCTGTAGGCGCACTGTGAATCGTATTCGGATCCCGAAAACAAGTAAGGACCCCTCACCCTATTTCCTATCACGGTATTAAAGTTCAAAATGATAAAACGGTATTTCTTGAATTAACGAATGTGTGAAATTACTTAAGGTGGCTAATGGAGCCCGAGTCTGGTGTGATTGGTGATTTACTGTTATTTGGCCTGTTTACAGCTTTAAATGCAAAATGAGGTTTGATGTGTTCATTTTACAGATTTGTGTGCATATACTACGTTTTTATTAATTATGGGTTGAATGACTGAAAAACTGATACTGTATGTTGTCTGTTTGGCATGAATTACGATTTGCTTGTTTAAAATGTGAATTGATAATGCTTACTGAGGAAGAGGAAAATGAAAGATTGTGTAGACTGATAATTGTATGATAGGGTCAGCCTGACTAGATATCCTGGAAGATGGTGGACGGACCGGGTCCGTAGGGAACCCTACCGGGATTGTGGTCTCACATGCCGGACGGGGTATGGAGATCTTATATGTTTTGGCGCCCATACCGGACGGGGTATGGGGACGGCCCGTTTCACCCTCATACCGGACGGGGTATTGAGGTTCATGGTTTTGGCGCCCATACCGGACGGGGTATGGGGACGGCCCTGGAAACTGATTATGAATGTTAAAGGTTAACAGGTAGCGGAACCCCTATGGACCCCCACGGATACTAGTAGGCTGGTAAATGAGAAAAAGATATGTTGTACAATGATTGAATTACAAGAGGCGTGATAAGTGTTATGTTTTACAGCTTATATTATTCCATGATTATGATAATGTTATTATTTTTCTTATATTGTTTTCATAAATTCCACCGAGGTAAGTGGATGGTAAAGGTTTTCATGTTAATAAATGAGTTTATTGTAAATTATGCTCCATTGGTCTTTTTGTGTTTTTCTACCCACCTTTACCTCCGTGACGGTGAGATATCGTGATGTTCTTACTGGACTAGTGTAGCTCACTCCTTATTTAACCATTTCAGATCAGGAAGACATGGTTCCCGAGCCCGTTCCGCAGGAGGACGACGAAGGGGATGCCTAGAGACTCTGTAGTCATACTCATAGTTTTATTTTTGAGTTTCTCTTTTAGTTAGTTTAATCTTTTATATTTTAAGTACGTTTTTGGTTTTCGTGTAAGGGATGTTAACTGAAATTTTGATCTCGCTTCCGTATTTTATGTATTTAAATACTCACTCCATTTTAACATTTCCGGGGCCGTTACAAAAGAGTTTAAGGTATGTACGAAGTTGAATATAAAAGATATAAGCTGACTGAAATTAAGACAAATTAACACTTTATTTCCTGAACTTTGTCATATTTTTCAACTTTAGTGCCAAATACTTTTTTTCCAAATTGATCCCAAAGGTTTCTCATGTTTTTCAAAAGCACCAGTAGTGCCAATTTAATTGACAAAAGAAGAAACAAGTTTTAAAAAAATAGTTTCTTGCTTATATCATTAACTGTTCATCTTTTTCACTGGAGAGAAAAATTTAAAGAGATTGAAAGCAGGAAGAAACTAAGTATTATTATTTATAATCTGCTTATGTTTCCTCTTTGATAAAAAAAATATATGGATGTCGTTTTGCCTCCCCTAGCTTTATCTCACTTCTTTATCGCCACCTATAACTCCTTAACACTCGCTGGCTATAGCTCTACATTGCTGCTACTTCTCCTGCTTCATCTCTCTTTTTGATCATGGCACCTTTCCCATCTTCTTCTCCCTTCTTCATCTTCGTACTACTCAATTCTATTCTTTTTTCGTTGCTGCTCTTTCATCATGTTTCATCTCCCTTTTTTATAGATGTATCTCCTTTGCTTCCTCTCCTTCCTTCGTCCTTATGCAAATGAAAATTAGTAATTTGCGAAATAAAAGCATATGTTTTGATCTCCACTTGAAAGCCAAATAGGAAATTGATGAGAAGGAGAATGAAGTATGTTTCAATTAAGTTTGAAAAAAAATATATGATTTTTGAAAAATGAAGAAAAATCTATATGATTATAATTGCTAATTGTGCTTTCTCTAGACTATTCTTTTTTGAACAATAATACTTTGATTTTGTACATGGAAGAAGCAAGCTTGTAGATTTTTTAGAGGATAAAAGAAGAAATTTACTAATTTAAAGATTGAAATATTTTTCTTTGGTTTTCGAACAAGTACAACGAGCAACTATAAGCAATACTTTTAAGTAGAATTCCAAAATTTTATCACTTACTTTTCCTCTTTTATCTTACTATATATATATATATATTTTAACTACAAAGGCACCGGCTTTACTCACCATTTTATATTTTTATTTTTATGAAGTTTTTAAAAAATTAACTTTTAAAACCAGACTCCACCTTGTACAGGCGGAAAACCCTAATTGCCCTTTTTCTTGTGACAAATTAATTATTGGTGTTGTTCTTTTTGTTTAAAACATTGGCCTGATATCATTTAAATTAGGAATTTTCTAATGAAATGGAAGAACAGATGGATAGAGTTATCTGCTGTTGGATAGCGGAGTTCTTGGTCAGGCAACCAGATACTAGCCATGTCGTCAAGAAGCTCTTGCCGGAACTCGAACTCTCAAACGACGATATTCGGTTGAAGAAAACACTGGTACTACGGTCAATCGCGGACGAGATCGCGGAGGGTTCGATCTCTGAGACAATTCTCGATTCTCTCGAGATATTAGAGGAGCTGGACAGGAAGGAAGGTTCCAAAATGACGGAATCGATGAAGCGGGCTTACTGTGCGGTGGCCGTGGAATGCACGGTGAAATACCTCGTAGTCGGGGAGTTTAACAAAGGCAAGTACCTGGATGCATTGAAGAGGATATGGGAAAAGCGAATTCAAGGTCTGCAGCGGTCAGGCACGAGCGAGCTGGTTTGCTCGTCGGAGGAGTTGGGCAAGCGGAGGGAGGAGATTGAGGCTGCTGTTTGGGACAAGAAAGTGTGCATGGTTTTGACGAAGAGGAATACGAGGAACGATGCTTTAAATTCGGTTAGGGACTATATTGTCGAGGCTTTTGCTATGATGGGTCCCGCTTATCTTGAAGTGGCGGTTAGGAAGACGATGGAGATGAATCAGGGACCGGACATGGATGGCGCTAGAGATGGAACTCTGGAGAACAATGCTCGCCCGGAACCGGATGGTGTTGGCGATGAAATGGTCGATCGTGCGGAGGGGCAGAAATTTGATGAAAAAGAGATTAGGGATGATGCATCCAGGTTGCCGTTTAGTGAAGTCGCTCTTGCCAAAGGGAAAGGTATGAGCTTTGCATATAGTTCCATCTCTATTGAGGGCATGAATAATATGATATCCGCTGACTGTAGATCCTTGTCCCTTGATTGTATTAGTAATTAGTTATTACTGCTTTCTATTTCAAATACAGATTTAGTCAATCAAGGGATGCGTCATGTAATCAAATCTAAAATGCAATACTTGATTATTCTTTTCTTAAGTTTTGTTATCTGGTTTTGTCCCAAATCCGTATCACTTGGAAACAAAGCCAAAAGTCCCTACACCTTAGAATCAAATCCCTATGTTCAAACAGTTATCAAGGTATTCGGAGAAAAAAAAAAAAAAACAAAATCGCGATCCCTAGAAAGCCTAAATGCCATAAGCCTCCTATTAGCCACTGATTGGAAGTCACCCTAACCACAGGGCAGTGGTGGACATATCAACCACTGGCATCCTTATATTCCAGTCATTGACCTCTCCTCAAATCTTTAACCTCAAAATCATTATGTGACACTTGCCAGAAAGAGAAAAAAGGAGTGGGTGGTTACTAGAGTGTATTGCAGGGGTATGAGTAGTGAGAGGGAGATGCTATGGAAAGACTTAGAAGAGTGCAGACAGAAGTGGAATGGGTTATGGGTGGGGGGTGGTGATTCAATATTGTTTTGTCCAGGCATGAAAGATTGGGGGAGCAATATTCAGGAAGATGTGCTGATGAATTTAAAGAAAACACGGACAAGCTTGACTTGATGAATATGCCTCTCATGGGGGGAAAATGGACCTGGACGAACCAAAGAAACCCATCGTCTTGTCCGAGGATAGATAGATTCTTGGTGTCTACTGGCTGCTTTGCTCAATTTTCCGACTTGTGTCAAAAGGTACTATAGAGACCCAAATCTGATAATTTTACTATCAGTTTGGTTTTAGATGGGATCTAGTGTCGTTCATTTTTTATAATAAGTGGTTAAAAGTGGAGAATTTTAGGAGCAATATAGAGAAGTGGTGGAAAGACACTAAAGCTGTTGGTAAGGTAAGCTTTAGAGTTGCGCGAAGCTCAAGGCAGTGAAAGGTGATATCAAGAAGTGGGCCGTGGAGGAGGGGAGAAGGGAGGAGCTGAAGATTCAATTTCTAGTACAAGAAATTGAGTGTTTTGATAAAAAAGAGGGGGAAGGGGGTTGTTGCAAGAAAATCTTGCCCTCGGGAATCTTTGAGAATTGAGTTGGCAAGCAGGCTTTAGATGGAAGAGATTTCGTGTCGGGAAACGTCTAGGGAGAGATGGTTAAAAGAGAATGATAGGAACACCAGGTATTTTTATTGTCTGGCAAACCACAAAAGGAGAATTAATTATGTTGAGGACATGATGATGGGAAATCGATTGGTACAAGGCAATGAAAGGCTAAGAGAGGAAGCTAAGAAGTTCTTCCATCAATTGTATAGAGAGGAGATCAGCAAAAGGCCTAGACTCAATGGCCTCCAGGATTGCATTATTTGCTTGGGAAGTTGTTAAGGAGAAGATCCTAACATTGGATAATTTGGTAAAAAGAGGGAAAATTTTGGTCAACAGCTGTTTTCTTTGCAAAAATGATGCTGAGAGTTGCAATTATATTATTCTTTTTTGCCCTTTTACTGCTAATTTGTGGCACATGGTCTATAGTCTGATTGACATTAATTGGGTTATATTCAGCTCCGTTTATAATGAGATTCTGGCCTGGGAGGGGTTTATTTTCTAATAGTTATGTTACTCGGCTAATTCCTTTAACGATTTTTTAAGTTATTTGGAAAGAAAGAAACAATAGGGTTTTTGAAGACATTGAAGATACTTTTGTAAATATTAAAGATAAATGGATACACTGTTTTGGATTCATACTTTTAGGATACAGTCTCTTATCTTTTGATGACATAGAACTGTTGCAAATATGCTCATTGATATGTAAATCTTTTGTAAATGGGCGGTATCCCCTTGGTACCATTTTTTAATGCATTTTCTTACCTTTATCTAAAAAAATGGCCTAAACTCAATGGGTTACAGTTTAGTGAACAGGATGAGTTGAGTCGGGATCGCTTAGAGATGGAGTTTTCATATGAGAAAATTTGGGAAGGGTTACACCAAGTAGTGTGACAAGAGCAAAACACCAAGACCAGGTGGGTCAACATGAGTTTCATTCAAGAGTTCTGGCATATCATTAAGGGCGATATCATGGAGGTGTTCAAGGAGCTGCATGAGAATAGGACTTTTGTGAAATCATTGAATTCTTCATTTCTAGTACTCATAACCAAAGCAGAAGGAGCAAAACATGAGAGACTTTAGGCCAATCAGCTTGGTTGAGTGTGTTTATAAGTTTATATTAAAAGTCTTGGTAGGAGAATGCCCAAGGTATTGGAGCATGTGATTGGGGAGAATTAACATGCATTTGTGGAAGGTAGGTAAATTATGGATCTTGTACTGATGGCAAATGAAGTGCTGGACGAGCTGGTGCACAGAAAGAGGGGGACAGTTTTATTCTGCTTCCTATCCACTCTGTTTAATGTAGGAAACATAGATTTCGTCTTCCAAGAATAGTCTTTCATTCTGCTCCCTGTCCACCCTGTTCAATGTAGGAAACAAAATGCCCTCAAGAGTAGGCCTCCGCTTCTCAAGCTTACTGTATAAATCATAAAAAAAAATCCTTCACAATCATCTTTACTTTCAAACTCTCAACTACATTGCATCTTCTGTGATGAGAAGCATAATAGGAAAAACTCTATGTTCCTGTCACCTAAATCCACAAAGCCCTTGATTTCTATCTCCTGACAATTTTCTCCACAACATATATTTTTTTTGAGATAAAAGTGAGTAGTAATATCAAAAAGAGTGTCGAGGAGGCGAACCCATATACAAAAGATAGTATTTATAGATCAATAAGTATATTTACAATCTGACCAAAATCATCAAAAGAGTTAAGGTTGCGACCAAGGATGATGGAGCCAAAAAAATAAAACCATTTATCCTTAATGACAACAAAATTTGTTTTTTTGCTTTCAAAAATCCCACAATTTCTTTCTTTCCAAATAAACCATAGTATTGTTAAAGGAATGACCCTATGCCACCTTTTACTCGAAGTGACTCCTTCCCAAGCTAACAATTCACCTTTGACTGAACTGGGCATAATCCAAGAGACACCAAGCAGCTTATATACCATTATCCATAGTTTATAGGATGTTGGGCACAAAAGAAGAACATGGTTATAAGATACCACATTCTGCTTGCATAAAACACACCAGTTAGCTAACATAAAACTTCTTCTCATAGGGTTGTCAAGCGTGAGAATAGAATCCATAGCTGCTTACGAAGCAAACACCGAAATTCTAGGTGGAATGGAACTATTCCATATGATTTTGTAAGGAAAAACAGCAGTAGAGTGATTTTTGTCCATCAAGTTTCTGTATATAGATTTGACAGTAAAAGAACCATTTTTACTTAAATTCCATCTTAATTTATCAATTTCAGTACCCATTTTGGCATTTGTAAGGATTTGGAGAAGATTTTCATATTCTTCAATTTCCCGGTCTTTCAAATTCCTAGTGACAGCCACATTCCAAGACAGAGGAGAGCTGATTCCATAAACATTTTCTAGAAAAATATCTTTGTTTATTGCGATAGCAAAAATGTGAAGAAATTGGCTTTGGATACTCATTTGACTACACTAAATATCTTGCCAAAACTGAATTTTGTCACATTTTCCCACAATCCATTTGGAATAATTTAGAATCATTTTACTAAAATTCCAAATACTCTTCCATAGGCTGAGGCCAAACTTGTTCTTTTCCAAAACAGCAGGGTCATACACATTGCTGCCAAACCATTTGCATATAATGACTTTCTTCCAAAAACTGTTATTTTCATTCCAAAACCTCCAAATCCACTTACTATGCAAAGCTTTGTTGAGGCCAGAGATGAATTTAATGCATAACCCGCCATCTTTCTTTGATTTCTTCAGTTGCTCCCATTTAACCAGGTGGATCTTTCGGTTAGAGTCATTATTGCCCCCAAAGAAAACGACATTGAATGGTCTCAAGTTGCTTAGCAACTTTCTTGGGTATAGTGAGCACCGAGAGATAGCAGAAAGGAAGGTTAGACAGGGTGCTATTGAGTAAAGTAAGCCTCCCACCTTTGGAAAGATATTTACTTTTCCAGCATACCAGTTTATTTTGAAAAGCGTCAATGACCTGCTCCCAACTTTTGCTGTCTTTATGTTTAGCGCCAAGAGGAACACCCAAATATTTTATAGGGAGTTGGGCAGATTTACATCCGAGTGCTTTGGAAAGGGTACCATCAGAATTCATCCCAAGCATTATCAATTTAGATTTTTCCATGTTGATTTTGAGGCCGGAGACTGTTTGGAAACAAAGAAGAATGCATTTAAGATGAATGATATTCTTTACATTAGTTTGACAGAAAATGAGAGTATCATCCGCAAAAAATGAGTGAGAAAATTCAAGTTGATAGTTATTTTTTCCCCACAAAGATAACTCTCAACAGCCCCAGTCTCTAGCTTGCATTACAAGTTTGTTGAGTGCTTTCATAATAATAATAAATAATAAGGGAGAGAGGGGATCACCTTGCCTTAAGCTCTTGGAACCTTTAAAGAATTTAGATGGTTCACCATTGACTAAAACAGCAAAATATGTGGTTGTAATACATTCATTGATCTCCATTTAAACTCAAAACCGAAGTTCTCAAGCATATGATCAATAAAATCCCAAAAGACATGGTCAAAAGCTTTTTTCATGTCTAGTTTGCATAAAAGCCCTTTTGTTATATTTCTAATAACATCATCGACCACCTCATTTGCTGTAAGGATAACATCTGTAATTTGGCACCCATAAACAAAAGTTTGTTGATTTTCCCTAATGATCGAACTGATAACTTTAGACAATCTACTTCCTAGCACTTTTGAGAGTAGCTTGTAAACATAACTAAACCAACTAATAGGGCGAAAAATCTTTAATGTTGGATGTATTTTTTTTTCGGAATCAAGAGCATAACGT